GCGACAAACAACTGAGCTAGTTGTAGTTTTATAAAGTGGATTGCTCGATATTTGCCTTAGGGACATTTWTTGTAGACTAATTATTCTCAAAACAATGACCTGACGTAATAAAATGTAAGAAGGTCAGTGATRTTTCTGCTTTATTTGTAGTTTACCGTTAGCGCACATCTTTTACGRAAAATTGTTTGGCAGAATTTGGGCAAAGATACCACTGGTTCAAAATTTGCAACCCACTGTCACTCCCAGAGGCTGCATTGACTTCTCAGCATTACCATGGAAGTTTCAGATCTCCAGTCGTTCTAATTTTGGTATTTGACCCTTTCAGTTCTCCATTCGTTGTAATTTTGGTACTTGACTTAAGGATTTCAGTATTTGACGGAAGAAAGGTAGGAAGGTAGGATTTTTCGAATGAACTAGTCTCACTTTCGTGCTACTTAATATTTCAAACTAAGATTATGTGCCTTGCATATCGTCACATAAAATACAAAGTAACCAAACGTTTATAAGCGAAGGAAAAACGATATAACAGACAGGCAACCACTCACATTGAAAAAAATTTGAGTTTTGGTTATATAATGGTTATATATTGGTTACCATATACAATATACTGGTTATTATATCAGAAAGCGATTTTCGATTTTTTTTTTTGATGATAGGTGACAATATGTAGCTTACTGAATTCTTTAAGTGTATAGATAGCATGAATGCATGTAAAGGCTTTCTTGAAAAGGTAGAAACAGAAGTGAGTTCGAATAACTGTGGGCACTGAGAAACTCTATCAAAGACTGGGCTCGGCTTCGGCTGCTATATAACTGATCCTTCTTTGTTTCTCCTCCGCTTTTGAAACAAAACAGAAATATATTAATCCTTAATAGACAAAATTCCAATAAGCTAAATCTTACCACGTTTAAACTTTATAAAGCTATAGTTTTAGTTTTTTATACTCTCAATAAATATAAAATAAAATAAAGTAGAATTTCARAATGAACATTCAGGATAACAGGACATTCAAAAGAGAAATATTTATCTGTAAAATTATATTGTAATTAATTTTAAATAAGTCAGCACATATAAGACAGCTGTGCCCACATAGCTTGACTATCTAACGTCCTGAAATTTAAATATTCCAACTACGAAACGAATGCGCTATGCATATGCCACAAATACCCATACTGGACACGTCAACTAGCCAACCGACCGGTCAGGCGAAGAAAACATGAAAACGATACTGACCCAAACACTTGTTTCACTCCAGTGAACGCATAAACAATTATGCATAAATACCTAAGCTGCAGCCCACCTGCTTGCAACAACTAGCACGAGTACATGCAACAAACGGTGGTAATGCACACAATGCAAGTCCTGCGGGCAGGATGTATTATGCAATGTGTTCATTACTCGAATTGCAATGAACTCTGTTTGTGTTATTTTAGATGGTAGGAGGAAAACTAGGCATTTGACCGRCGACCGGCACGAGCACTTTGTGAGYATAATTATTCAAATTACAAGCAACATAGCGGAGAGTGATGGCATGTGACATGGCAGAGGGCGAATGTGTGGACGACGGACGGCCGCGCATAGCTTACCTTTTGAAGAGTGCCTGCTTGCTTGTTTTTCCCTTCTTTTTTGTGATAAGGCAGGCGGCMTTTGCAGGAAAAACTAAGTGTCGCCTGCGCTTCTTGATGTTGCGCTCAACTTTCATGTGTCGTTACGCAAGCGTATTTGCATTCGTTGATGYAAGTGGGTTTGTGTGCGCGTTGGCGCGCGACAGTCGCCTGCCAACAGCACTGCCACTGTCCGGCGCATTTCCGTGCAGCGCTGTCGGGAGGACACTTCAAAGCGAGTCCAGCCGGGACGTGCCCTGCGAGCGTGCCTAGACAGGTAAGCGGCTGCTTGTTGAAGGTGGTGTTTGTTGCTGCTGCTGGTGGTTGTGACGGCAAACACACTTGCCCCGCGCGTTGTGCAGTGGTGCATACTAAGCGTGGCAGTGCAACAGCCGTCGGCTTTGCACCGAAATTCGTGTGTGCATGCCACCGATTGCACTTGTTTTGTTCCTATAGTATTTTATGTWGCACCAATTGTTGTTGTACGTGGTGTCGTCTGTCACCTGAACGTGCACAAGTTACTGCTTATTTCCACATACTTTTTTTTTCTTTTAATTTCTTCGGTTTGAAATTAAATATTGGCTCCCCCTTCACTTGCCGCAAGARAAGCGCATTAGATATTCCATGCGGGCGCGAGCGGTTTGCTCCCGAACAGGTACATTAGGCGTGCCACAGTTTTTAATGAGCCCGCATGCCACCGCAACGTGCTTGTGCCACACCAAATTTACTCGTGCCGTAAATGCAACAACAGTGCATGGCTTTCGCAAAGTATTAATTGTTCTGTTTTCATAAAATGAGTACAATGTACAACACTAATGTGTGGCAACCACTTTGTTGCACACGTAAATGTAAGTTTGCAGCAAGTGTGGCATGCATCGCTATGCGCATGTGTTCGCCAAAGGTGCTTTGCACGAGCAAGTGTTTGTGRCAAGCTGCAAGGATACGTTTGGCATATTGATGCCACCACCAGCAGACCTGGTTGACTGTACTTTTTTATTTTCTTTGAAATGATGTTATTTTTAATGACAGTTGCAAAGGTCAATTAAAGTGAAATTCTCACTACTAACATTTTGCAATTTGTTCGAGGTGGTCTTAATGGTTGCCGATATGCAGGTAGGAAAATATATGACGAACGTAATTTAGTTAAGCTGTGGTTAGATTAAGAGCTGCGCTACAAAGAAGAAGTTGCGTATAAAAATTAAATTTACACAATAAAGGTGCAACATTTTAGTGCAATGAGCCATTAATGACTGCATATGCTATTAAAAATAAAATCACTTGTAGCTTTTCTACGGCAAATAAMTGCATAATTAATTTAAAAAAGAAAAACGTTAAGCTGCTCATATTCACTTCAATATTTTCATAGGTGCATATCTTATAGCATAGATAGTTAGAAACAAATCTGTTTGCGAACTATCATAATATATTCTCTGACAAACAAAAARGTATATGCAAGGACCTGATTTCGAACGATCAGTTTGTATGGGCTATATATTATAGTGCTTCGGTGTAAGCAATTTCGACAAATAAGCAGCTTCTTGAGGAGAAAAGGACATGTGCTACATATCTTATCGATATCTCAAAACCTATGGGAATAGTTTGTGTATATACAGATGGACAGACGAGCTAAAACAGTGGCTAAATCGACTCACCTCGTCACCATAGTGATTTGTGTATTTGATTTATAGMGTGTCCGACGTTTCCTTCCGGGAAAAACAAACTGTTCAGAGTACGTAGTATAGATCTAAAATAAGATTGCAGCAGTCAGTTTATGTTCCAAGCAGCGTTGTTACAGTCCCAGAATTGGAACTTTACTTTATCCTAAAAATTCAGAACAATTATTTTTCGTAGAGAATTCTAATATTAATTTTCCTAAACAATTTCACTTACTGTTGTCATGCACAATTTTAAGATTATTGAAAAGGTTTATATATCTCTTCCGTAACTCCCATAATTGTTCTATGTCTGTCGACTTGAAAGGAAGATATGTACGGCTGTCTGATGTGTATTGAGCCTTATTTTCAAAATATTTATATAATAATATACCGAAGAGGACTAGGGTTAGGTTAGGCTAGATGACTGATCAAAGATCGCACRTGGATTACTATAATTTATTTAGTGCTTTGGGAGGCCGTAGAAAAGTTCGAACTTATAAATTACCAAAAGGCTCAGAGCCAATACAAATTTGGTGAGGCGTTTAGTTTCCTTTCCCACCAGCTCGATGAGATGTTTAAAGGTATACGCTCCCAACTGTATGAGTCTTGACCTCCTAAATGCGGGACAGTYAAGAAAGAARTGTTGTGTTGTTTGCATCTCATMTTCTTCCATACAAMTTCTRCAGATGGTATCTTAAAAGCCCYAAAACTAAGAAGAAGCTAACCTAATTAAATGCAAAGAAATCACTAGATCCAGTGCGATCGATCTTAGACCAAAAGGCTTCAGACATGTACCTACGGTGACTCAGCGCTGACCAAGCTTCCGAGGCTCAGCTATCTAGTAGTAGTGGTTCTACAGTGCCTTTCCTTGCTAGCTCATCTGCTTTACAGTTTCCTGCGATTTTGCTGCGGCCTGCATCCCTAGCAATTTTATTACAAAGACACCCGATGCTGTTGATAGCGAGGTTAGGAACTCCTTGACTAGCCCCGAACGCGCTGTTAATGAGTTCAAGGCTAGTATCGCCGCCCTGTTATCTGAGTGGATGGTCACTTTTCCGAAAAAGGCTGCACTCCAAAGCAGTAAGTCTTCCCCAAAAACTTTGACGAATCCGTAAAGAATGTTGGCAACTTCCGCAGGCATAATGGGTTAAAAAAAATGTCCAAAAAATGAACCAAAGCAATAAATACATCCCTTTTGGATGTCAATATTTCCACCATCCAAATTTTAATAACTTTCCAAATGCAAATAAACAGATTTGTCTATGAGAAATCCACCTTCATAATTGTGTAATATAGATCGAGGAAATTTTGTTTACTGGAAAATATAACTAAACGGCTAATCGAAATTTCAAACGTTAGAGTTTGGAGGGATCTCTCTAATTCGGTTTCAGTGTACTCTAATTGAGAATAATCAAAAGTAGTGGTTACACAGCATTTATTATTCTGCCTTTCATCTAGATATGGAATGAAGGGAGGTTGAAACCACTTTTAGACTTTTCAAAGGAATTCCATTTATTTTATGAAACATTCAAATAGTTTTCTAGTTATCTTAGGATAGGAATCCATGATCTGCTTAAGAACTAAAACCGCCTACAGCACCGAGTTTCAGAAAATTGAGTCAAGCGTTTTTTTTGGAATGTTCGTCAAATAAGCTAAGCATTTATTAAATAAAAATACAACTACAAAKTAAATACRTAYATAATATAAATAAAATACAATGATWAGGAACTTTSTCTATYAAACTTATGCTTTCCCTCATATACCAGCTAATTCCAAAACAAACCAAGCACCAGCTTCAAAAATTGACAAAAGCCTAACTAAAATGTACATTTTTTCAACTTCTCCTTAATTACATAAAATACTGTTTCTACTTCCACCATCCTAATGCATAATACAGACTTAACTACCTCATCAAATCCTTTTCATATCCTTTCACTTTTACAAACTTATACCAAATTGTTTATGCAAACTGGGCACAAGTTCGTCCCAGCGCGCTTGAAACAAATTGCCAGCCACCAGTTCCATATTATACTTCCCAGCAAAGCCCATGGAAGAGAACTTCTCGTGACCGGTTACATCGGTGTTGGTAATCTTTTCTTCATCGAACACTTGTTTACCGGGTTGCTTGTAAATAAGGAACACGTAACGTAGTATGCCACTCATTTTGGGTGCCATCGGTCCAATATAGGGATCTATGATATCACCCTTGGCGATATCGACTCCCGGTACATTGACAACCAACCAGTGTAGCCATTCGCGCAGCAACGGATTCTGACGCGTTGGTATATCCGGATTGACCATGATAACTGTATAGTAAGCATCTGGCTCGGATGTCCAATAAAGTTTGGGTTCGTCTTTGGTTTGAGTGGGTGTGAACTCCTCGCCGTTGCCAACTTCTAAGCTCCCATTATATTCAATCTGAAAAAGATTATAAAAAAAATTTTTTGTAAAATTAAAAAAATTTGTTGATAGAGGCAACTGCTTCTTTTGCTTCGACTGATCGTAGTAGATTTAAAAACACTTTCTTCGGGATCGTTTAACTGAACAATGAACAAATTTTATAAATATTAAACCAACCTTCAACAACTCCTTGGGCGGTGCATCCAGTATATCGGACACTATCTCCATATCGCGGAAAAGCTTCTCCACCTCATTGTCCACCGCAACTGCACAACGTGCCGCCAGAAAGAAACACAAAATGCGTTGCCACATTTTCCAAAACCTCAACGCAGCCCACTAACTGAGAAATCGTCCAAAAACTCGGCATTTATACGCGTTTTCAATAAAGGCTTGTGAATAATTGCGCTAATTTGAGAGAATTATAAAAACTGCTGATCTATATTTGCAATTCATACGTCGCGATTAGCTGCACGCAACTTGCAATCAAAATATTTATTGTAAACATTGGCTTGGAAATTAATGACAATTCAAAGTTTTGCTGTTATTGTTATACTTCGCTAAAGTGATTCTTTAAATTGGGTAGTAATGCGTGTGCATTCGCATCTCTATTGTTATGCTTATTTGTATACCATAATCAAAATGTAATTTCATTTAGAGCTATATACTGATTTTAGTTATTTTTCATTTTTTGTATGTGCTTCCTCAGCAGAGTTATCACTGATACTAATGGGCTGACAAAGCGTTGGACATAGCGGCAGTAATCAAAGCGAATCATCAAACGGACGAAGCTTCTTCTTTGCTATACATATACATATATAGTATTAAGGTATTTTGATATTAGAATAGCAGCTGATTGTAAATGAATTTGATGCCTTAAAGCTATTAGTATTATCAAAGTAACGACGACCTCATACTGTATCATTAGTAAGTCACAAAACATTGTGTATCTTGAAAACATTTTTATATATGTACAATGCTCTATTTACAACATTTATCAGTATACTATTTAATCTGTGGTAATTTTCAAAATAATTTTCATTCCATTCTCATTTTAACAATTATCTATATTTTCTTTTCTGCTTGGCGAAAGGGGACAACAATAGATTAACCATAAAGTGATCTAAGACTATATATTCCTATAATGCTTGTTTTGACATTCAAACTGGAAAACATATTACAACGCTTTTGTAGCTACGACACAGTTTTTGAGAAGGGTTAAATTTCCTGGATGCAGTATTCTCGAAATACACAACATGTTTTTAACAGTAGATTCAACCCGGATATTGAATTAATTACATTTCAAAGATGCGCTTTTTAATGTTAGAAAATATACACATCTCTCGTCACCATAGTGATTTGTGTATTTGATTTATNAAACTTATGCTTTCCCTCATATACCAGCTAATTCCAAAACAAACCAAGCACCAGCTTCAAAAATTGACAAAAGCCTAACTAAAATGTACATTTTTTCAACTTCTCCTTAATTACATAAAATACTGTTTCTACTTCCACCATCCTAATGCATAATACAGACTTAACTACCTCATCAAATCCTTTTCATATCCTTTCACTTTTACAAACTTATACCAAATTGTTTATGCAAACTGGGCACAAGTTCGTCCCAGCGCGCTTGAAACAAATTGCCAGCCACCAGTTCCATATTATACTTCCCAGCAAAGCCCATGGAAGAGAACTTCTCGTGACCGGTTACATCGGTGTTGGTAATCTTTTCTTCATCGAACACTTGTTTACCGGGTTGCTTGTAAATAAGGAACACGTAACGTAGTATGCCACTCATTTTGGGTGCCATCGGTCCAATATAGGGATCTATGATATCACCCTTGGCGATATCGACTCCCGGTACATTGACAACCAACCAGTGTAGCCATTCGCGCAGCAACGGATTCTGACGCGTTGGTATATCCGGATTGACCATGATAACTGTATAGTAAGCATCTGGCTCGGATGTCCAATAAAGTTTGGGTTCGTCTTTGGTTTGAGTGGGTGTGAACTCCTCGCCGTTGCCAACTTCTAAGCTCCCATTATATTCAATCTGAAAAAGATTATAAAAAAAATTTTTTGTAAAATTAAAAAAATTTGTTGATAGAGGCAACTGCTTCTTTTGCTTCGACTGATCGTAGTAGATTTAAAAACACTTTCTTCGGGATCGTTTAACTGAACAATGAACAAATTTTATAAATATTAAACCAACCTTCAACAACTCCTTGGGCGGTGCATCCAGTATATCGGACACTATCTCCATATCGCGGAAAAGCTTCTCCACCTCATTGTCCACCGCAACTGCACAACGTGCCGCCAGAAAGAAACACAAAATGCGTTGCCACATTTTCCAAAACCTCAACGCAGCCCACTAACTGAGAAATCGTCCAAAAACTCGGCATTTATACGCGTTTTCAATAAAGGCTTGTGAATAATTGCGCTAATTTGAGAGAATTATAAAAACTGCTGATCTATATTTGCAATTCATACGTCGCGATTAGCTGCACGCAACTTGCAATCAAAATATTTATTGTAAACATTGGCTTGGAAATTAATGACAATTCAAAGTTTTGCTGTTATTGTTATACTTCGCTAAAGTGATTCTTTAAATTGGGTAGTAATGCGTGTGCATTCGCATCTCTATTGTTATGCTTATTTGTATACCATAATCAAAATGTAATTTCATTTAGAGCTATATACTGATTTTAGTTATTTTTCATTTTTTGTATGTGCTTCCTCAGCAGAGTTATCACTGATACTAATGGGCTGACAAAGCGTTGGACATAGCGGCAGTAATCAAAGCGAATCATCAAACGGACGAAGCTTCTTCTTTGCTATACATATACATATATAGTATTAAGGTATTTTGATATTAGAATAGCAGCTGATTGTAAATGAATTTGATGCCTTAAAGCTATTAGTATTATCAAAGTAACGACGACCTCATACTGTATCATTAGTAAGTCACAAAACATTGTGTATCTTGAAAACATTTTTATATATGTACAATGCTCTATTTACAACATTTATCAGTATACTATTTAATCTGTGGTAATTTTCAAAATAATTTTCATTCCATTCTCATTTTAACAATTATCTATATTTTCTTTTCTGCTTGGCGAAAGGGGACAACAATAGATTAACCATAAAGTGATCTAAGACTATATATTCCTATAATGCTTGTTTTGACATTCAAACTGGAAAACATATTACAACGCTTTTGTAGCTACGACACAGTTTTTGAGAAGGGTTAAATTTCCTGGATGCAGTATTCTAGAAATTGTAAGGTGCTTAATATTATACAACATTAAGTTATGTTTTTAACAGTAGATTACATTTACAAAGATGCGCTTTTTAATGTTAGAAAATATAGAAAATTAAGACTACATTCAAACAACAATAATACAATATGGACATCATCCAGGGTTTATATTTACCAGGATTTATGTACATACATATTTATGCTTGTATAGTAATTGAAAAATAATCTATGAATTTTCACTTCGATAAATATAATGTCAAATATGGATTAGAATTCGTGAACCAGTTCCATCCGATTTTTCCGCCAAATAAAGTTTGTATGACTTTAGTTGGTATTGCCGATCTTCACTTCCATACCACAATGTTATATTATATTTTTTTTTTATATTTCCAATTTACGTTAAATTTTCTCCAATCCAATTATGGTTACTTGAAAGTGGGGGAAAATAGCACCTGATCGATTCTTTTTCAAATTTTTATGCATTTAAAAATAGCCTTAAATCGATAACTAAAATAGTTTTTAGGTACAATCTCCTAAAATGTGTTCTCGAATTTGTTGCAGTGATAACTCGAGGACTTATGATCAACATAATCGGTCTACTGAGCGTACAATTCGCAACACCATCACCCATCCTGAGACCCAGCATTCATTATTGGCTATTTTAACGTTGAGATCTTAAATTGAAAGCGTGCAAATACAGCTTGTCCAAGAATTAAAGCCGCTTGAACTTCCCAAGCGTTAGTGCTTCTCTCTATGGGCTCTTGAAAAGTTCCAAGAAAATCCGACGTTTTCAAGCCATATTTGTTCAGCGATGAGGCCGTTTGTGAACCGCTGGGATCATCGGCCTATATGTCACAATCCACAGACAATTTCACGTTTTGGGCCGGTAAAGTTCAACTTTTTTAAACGCCGCCATTTTGTGAACTATTTATTTTTAGTATTTATAGTAGGCCACCGTACAGAGAATATCTTTAAATTTAATGAAAATTGTTAATTTTTTGGTTTTATTCACATGGAAGGCATGAATTACTGCAGCGGTGGAGAACCGTAGGCGATAACTCAAAAAATAACAAATTTGTATTCAAAAATTCACTGTATATTTTTGAAACATGTATAAATATGTACCGAACATTTCAAAATTATACATGGAGTTTTTTTTTCAATTACCAAAAGTCGACGTTTTTTTGCCCTCCACTAACTGCACCTTTTAATGCAATATTAGGCTCATTGTGTTTTCAATAAAACTGCATTTATATTCATACATATGTTTGTATATAAAAATTGTATGTATTAAGTTATATCATTATTTGTTAAACAAATACCAAATTTAATAATAAAATAAAAATAAAATTCCTTCTACAATACTATTAGACTAATACTTTAATAATAATTAWATTGTTTKTTAATAAAATAAGGTAAGTTAATTTTCAATATTGTATACAACACAACCACCATTTGCATAATAAACACTAGCAGAGCAAAACTTCAATGTGATAAGACCCTTATAAAAACACATGCTCGCTTACAAGCTCGGTTATTGTAAATATTTCGCAATCACAAAAGCAACAAAATCATGCCTCTTTTGCTTTGCTTACTTCTCCCGGAATTCTAAGAACAATGYTTTGTTCCATTTTCCAAAGCATGCCAGCAGAATTGTAGTTGCGTTTGCAATGTTTGATTTAGGAGGAAAAACAAAACAAGTGTTTGGTGTTATCCCTCAATTTTTATGTGCGCCTGATGTGCGAAAGGTAAATAAAATATATACTATATATTTGGTAATCGTGGCGTCTAAATCGAATCGTCAAGCATACAGCACATATCATAATAGCATAATTGCTTATACGAGACTCGATCGCTGGAATGAATTAGTCTTATATAGTATAATATGTAAATACCATTTCCCGTATATGAAATTTTTTATGCGATCATTATGATAAGATCATTAAGGTATGTGAGGAGATTTATTTTGTTATTTTTGTATTACCATTTTTTTCTATTATTTATTTAATGGAGCAGCATTGTGCATATTTAAGGACATCGTCAAGTAACCAGGCACACAAAGTCAGGCAGCAGGTGACCTCGCAATAATTGAATGGCTTTACTTTGTAAATATTGCACATAACAACAAAACTCAGTTCCAGTAACCAAGCGTCCCTAAGCTATTGCCTAATTAGAATTTTACGGCTCAACACTGCCAAACCTTTAAAGTTCAGGAAAATTTGAGTAAAAGAAAACATAAAATAACAAAAACAATACTTTCATATGAAATCTTTATATTTTGCTTTATTTTATTTTATGTTCGCCTGATGAATGTAAGCCAAATTTATAGCACTAGAAATGCAAAAAAATGTTTCCTGCGTCCTTGAAGATCGGGGGTATTAGAAAAAAATTTACTAAAACTTCCCTAAARATCAATCAATGAAAATATCGAATCACTAGGCGCTCATAAATTTAGCGAGAGCCACTAAAACTACGTCTTTCTTTAGTTTGTTATTTACTTCATTCTAATCAACGCAACAACACTTGTTCGTTCCAATTGCTTTTCTCAACATACGCATAATTTTGGACTTGCAATATAAGCAAATGCAAAAGACAACAATGCAATGTCACCACTCATGAGTAGGTGATACCGTAAGAGAGGATGTTTATTCCTTGAATTGTTTTGTTGTTAATTTTCGCTAGGTAAAAACAATATGTGTGTAGTAAAGAAAACATATTTATTTATTTTGCGTTTTTGTTATGTTTTCGGCGCAAACTTACTGTTTTTCATGTTTTCCTATTATTTCGTGAACATTGTAAATATTGTTTTCTGCAGGGTGATTCAGATGCAAAAAAACAGCAATTTTTTAGTACTTACAGTGACACCCAGTGTTTGCAAATATTATTTTAATGATATGGCCATAGTTTCGACAATAAGTCAACCAGTTTAATTTATAAAATTTATGACAAAAAATATTATTATGATAACAAATATTAAGCAGAATTTTAAATTTAACCAATACATATGTTGGGTTCTTGGACGAGCAAATCTAATTTATAATTGGTTTTTATATATTTATCAACATTTACATATATTTGGATGTACCATAAGTGGTAAGAATTCTGACTCGTTTCTCAATGAACGTTTTACTTAATAATACCGAATTGTTTATGCAATAGCGTAACATACTCGTCCCAACGTGATTGGAATATATTGCCAGCCACCAGTTCCATGTCGTACTTTTTGGCAAAGCCCTTAGAAGAGAATCTCTCATGGCCAGCCACATTCGTATTATTGAGTATGGGCTCATCGAATTCTTGTTTGCCGAGTTGCTTGAAGACCAGAAATACATTTCGCACCAAACCACTCTCCTTTGGATTCAATGGTCCGATGTAGGGATCTAATACGTAACCTTTAGCCAAATCTGTGCCCGGTATGTTAACCACCAACCAGTGTAGCCATTCGCGTGTCGCTGGGTTCTGTCGCGTCGGTATGTCCGGATTGGTCATTATGATTGTGTAAAACGCTTCTGGTTCAGCAAACCAATCCACTTTTGGTTCGTCTTTAGTTTGCGTTGGCGTGAATTCCTCACCGCTGCCAGCAACCAAGCCGCCATCGTACTCGATCTGAAGATATAAATACAGAATTAAATTAAAATTATTTATTCAATTATATCTATCTATATAAATCTATGTTACAAAAGGGTTCTTAATCCTGTTAAAGATCTATCAATATACAAGTTCCTATACCCCTTACCTTTATAGAAATTCTAAGCAACTTGAGATTTCCAAGCAGATGAAGCCGGTGGATATACAAACTGACCTGATTTGATATTCCTCTACGTGCGATCAGATGGAAATTATTAATATTGAGCATTCTCAGAATTTGAAGGCGGCCTTAGGGCCTTAGGGGATGTTTAAAGATATACTAATGAAAATACTTTGTAATGATAAGAATGTGTTTCTTCCTTTTGAAATCCCCCACTTATTGAAAGTCATTCGATAATTTAACACTATGTAATCACTAAAAGTAAAAACTCGAAAAACTTCAGTTATAAATGTGACATGATGTTAGATTATCGAGAATATAATGTAAAAGGACAGTTAATTGTCCGCGCCATAAAATATTAGCTATTACAGGAAATAGATGCTGTCCAATTCAGTCAATGTATTATATAAAGTTTTAAAGGCAGAGTATTAGGTGGGTCCGTAACTGACAATTCAGCCTTATAAGAATCCAAATGATCAATATTCTAGTATGGTTTAACGGTTTCCTTCTGCTTCGCTTGATAATGAATTATTTARTTAAAAACTCTCAAAAATATTCAAACTTATTATCATTTTCTTAWATRTTTTATTTTATTTTTATTTTCGAAGAATTTACCTTCAAYAATTCCTTTGGTGGTTCATCCAATATATCAGGCACAACTTCTAGTTCCCGAAACAGCTTCTCAGCCTCAGTATCCTCGGCTGACGCACAATTTACTGCAAGAAAGATGATCACAATCCGTTTCACTTTGTGCCACATTTGTACAATTTCTATAAAATATACTGATTTTCAAAAGTGAAGTATAAGGCTTTTTATATAGAAAATTTTTCAATAAAATRACAATCGCATAACTGTGCTAATTTGAGTAAAATTGCATGCTATTGACATTACATTATTATTTGAATTAACAAACATTAAAAACAAATGCTTGTTGCATGCAACGAACRAACTATATAAATATTTTAAATTAGAAAATGAATGTGTGGTAATTTTAACGGCTTCATATGGGTTTGTAAATATCATATAAGCAAGTGTATATATGTATGTACTTAGCAATGACAAAAACTGCTTACATATCGTCACCTAAAATGCAAAATAATGTAACATTACTTTTGACAAGTTTGCAGATGAAAGAAAAACGGTATAATGGAAACAACTAATATTGAAAAAAATTGAGTTTTGGTTATAAAATGGTTTTATGTATATTTTTTTTTTGACAACACGTTGTTTTACATTTTAGGTGACGATATATTGTATAAAGTGTCAGGTCGAAACTTTAAGTTTGGAGTTAGTAAAGTGATCCCTATTATTTGGACCACGGCCGTACTTTTAATAATGCATTAATTTAGACGTTTTGCAGTATTTGATTATTTCATAATTTCTACTTAAGCCCTTTTTCCTACCTTATACCATACAACTCTACTGCAACAAGTTGCACAAAACTCTATCCTTCCTACATTCTTCTGCACACTGCCCTTKACGTAGCGAAAAAATCATAGCAACACACCTGCGCATCCTCTTTTTACCGTAATTTGTTACGCCCCGTAAACATTATGCCATGTGTATTTCGAGGGAAGACGATTTTTATCCCATTATCTATTCTTTTATGATTCCTTTGTAGTGTATTTTTTTATACGGACACATACAAGCATTACTTTCAACACAAGCAAAATTAAATTCTTGTTAAAAAAATAATCGCTTGTTATTGTCACAGCACATTCCAAGAAACTGTAATCAGCAAATTGTGTTGCACTTCCTCGATTTCACAACGCTGCTTTTGTCACCTCTGCGAGAGCACACCCGTTTCACAAAAATTGAGAAAATAGRTAATAAATGCGTACATTTGTAGGTGGGAAAGGAAATCAAAGATAATACTACTGGTGCGCATTAAATATTTGCTAATGTGTAATGTATCATTTTGCTTCCGGCTCACATTGAAGCATAGARGGGAACGCTTAACGGAGTATTGATTGAAATTGGATTGATTGCCTGTGTTGTAATTAGCGCATAGGCATGATGTTGTACCTGAAAAATGGCGTAGGTAACCAAGAAGCCAAGAACCACATTAGGTTGGGACAAATAAAACTATAATTTTTTCTCGTTTGGTGCTTTGAAAAGTGGGTTTCCATATTCCTCTACAAAAATCTTTCTATATATCAGCTCATAATTATAATAGGGAGGTCCGTGTAGTTTTCTTTTTTTTCTTATTATCAGAAAAAAATCATACCGCGTTTCAAGGAGCTTGAAGGAAATTGAATTAGAAGTGCCAAATAACCYATATTACAGAGAACCAAAAACACAATATTTTCTATTTTTTTGACCCACCCTAATATTTGTAGTAAATCATAACTAGATAACATTGTTTCTAATAAAATGAGCTAGAGATGCCCAAGAACAAATAGTTCAGTTCAAATAAAAAAAAACTTAATGTTTGACCCACCTTAATATTCCTAGTATATCATATACATATACAACATTCTTAAATATATAATTTAATTTTATCCGGTATGTCAGTAACTGACGAAAATTGTCGAAAATTGTGGAAAGCTTTCTTATATTCCATACTATTTACTATAGAAAGAAGAATATAGATGATAGCTTGTTTTTTTTTAAATATTACCTAAAAAATAAAGTCTGGAATATAAAATAGAAACCGGGAACTAAATACCAGGTAAGAGAACAGTACTGAAACCTAAGATCCATGAGATTTCATCGTTTTCTATGGCCATGGCAATATATGTGTAGGATCTTTAGAAAGGTAGGCGACAAAAGGTTGTTGTTGTTGCGAAAAAGTCGCAAAAAAAATATGAAGAATGGTGTCGAAGGACGTTAATATCGTTTTGTTTCTCTCTAGAAATCATATTGTAAATCTTTTAGAAATCTCATTCGATATTCAAGTCGGGGTTCGATGTCCGATAATTTCATCTAACTTGGARCMAGTATTAACAAAAACAAYGACKTCAGCCTCAAAATMCAGCGCGTAATAACTCTTGTCGTCCTCTCTCGACGAATAAAGACCAAACACTACAAGGCACTGCAGATGCAGGACAACATCTGCTGAGTCRGCGTTACGGGTTTYCTCATTCGATGGAACGATGAGCTGTATGAGRGGTGCGACGATATTGACATAGTTCAGCGAATTAAAAGACAGCGGCTWTGCTGACTAGGTCATCTTCTCCAAATGGACGAAAACACACAACCTCTGMGAGTATTCGACGCAGTACTCGCCGAGGGAAGCAGAAGAAGGCCTCTACTCCGTTTATAAAGACCAGCCGGARGAGCAACTGGCTACACTCAAACAWAATTAGTTTTSAATCCATATAGTTTCAGTAGCTGTTGTAAAGCTATCATTTGCACTAAGCTCGGGAGTGAATTTTGAAGAAATTTCTTTAAGGTTCTCACGCTATCTTCCTGCTGCATTCATTGCTATCCAAACCCCAATTATAATAATGTTGCTAAGGTCTGGCATTTTGCCATTGAAGTGACTGATTTGAGGGAAAATAAGACGTCACTTCTGTAGTTGATTGTATGYATCTTTCTTTCCGATAGTTTATAGTATTCTTCTGCTTGAACTATTCGGACCTTTTTGTACTGCTTCATATTTTGCTGCTATAAAGGAAGCTATTCAGCATTTCCCCAAATATCATGAGTTTAGTAAGAGCTGGAAACATTTGTGACAAGATGCCATAATCGCTAACGGTGAAAACTGAATTTGAATTTTCCATATAAGTTTCGCTGAAAAGCGCACTTTCCCACCCACGCGTAGTAAACACAATAACACCACGTGATCGTACGCACACTTTAGTCTATTYACACAAAATATTGCAAAGAGTTCAGCCACACATTTGGAGAACGAGACGCCGCAGTTCGAGTAAGTCAGGTGGGCTGAGCCTAGACCAAAGAGCAACATATAATGTAATCAAAACAACAATTCTGGTGAAATGCGAGAAAAAACTAAATGCAGACATTTCCCTGATATTATTCTACACACTTACATAAAAGAGTGTGTGTGTGTGTGATCGATTTCGCTAAATGAAAATAACGACCACCCACGCATGCAAAATAGCTGGTGGCAGCATTGGCAAAGTGGCTGGGGCACACCGGTGGCGCAGTGTCAAAATCACATATCGATTCGCAGGAACTCGAAGCTAAAGTTGCGCGATAAGCGTGTGTGCATGTATGTAAATACATGTTTGGATAGCATGATATATGCATTTGTGAGTGTGTGTGCGCTTGTGRCCACGGATATGTGCAACAAAAATATTATCATATGGAAATTTCAGAGCAATTACGAATTCCGCTAAAACAATGATATGGCCAAAAGGAGAGCCACCAGCAACTGCMGCATCGCCAAATAAAAGCTAGAAATAGTTACAACAACAAAAACTACCACAAAAGTGTATGTCTAATAGCTGCTGCGGTCGGTGCTAACGCGGTCTACACGAATATCGCTGTCTGCCACACACAGCCGCTGCATGCAAAGTGAGTGACCTTATGATTGAGCTGGTGATATACACCCACCGCCGTGGTGTCAGCCGCGAAAGATGCACTCATATGTGTTGGCTAGGCATGCTGCTGTTGCAGCTAGTGCAATATTGCTTTTGTTGCAATGAAGCACTTGTGGCASACAACATGTATGAATGAGGAAAATATAAAATATATACAGTATACAAATATACATACTTACATGTACGCATATAGCTAAGGTGTTTGGTTAGCTGATCGGCTGACTGTCTGGGTGGTGGCTTAGCAGTTATTTCGCTAGTTTCTAGGYAGTAGTCAGCCACAGGTAAGAGATGTGTATGCGAAAAAAGTTCGTCTTTAACTTGTGCCTCTCTAAATAGTCAATTTCGGCGCAATCGTACGCCTCCGCAGTGGCAGCGCTTGTTGGGCTTGCCGCAACCGTACATCACGTGCCACTTCAAATGTTTTGATTGATGTCAGTGTACAAGGTGGAGCAGCTTTCCAAGGGAACACTTATTTTATATTTGGAGGCATCCTTGTAGGAGCTTCTTTCCTAAGTTGCATGCAAATGTGGTAGAGTAGCTAAATATGTTTATGTAAGCAGTGCTTTAGGTAAATATTATATATCATTACATATATGTCAAACTGTTCTTTTAATGCGTTTCAGTGTTCTACATTTATATTATATTAACCATTTGCTGTGAGTTATAAACTTCGGATTGGGGCGTGATGAACTTTTCACTGCAAAATTGCGGAGCAGTTAAAAAGAAGTAGCTAGGCTTCAATTTTAAGCCTTTATATTCCAACTTCCAATTGAATTTTCAATTGTTCATAAAATTTTTTTTTGATCACTCATGCCCAGCTCTTGACCGATGCTACGGCTGCTACTATGCCGGTCTCTTTCGACCAATTCAGCGATTTTATCGCGATTTTCGACGACAGGCCTACCGGAGCGTGGCGCATCTTCGACCACCTCTACACCTGTCTCTTATACACATCTAGATGTGTATAAGAGACAGCCTCTACACCAGAACGAAAACCTTGAAACCAGTGTTGTGCGGTGGAAATGGAAACTGTATCGGGTCCATAAATATAAACATTTTACATGGCGGTCAGATAATTTCATTTAGCGTACATYCTCAGAGCCCCATAAATTGCTTTGATGAAGTGGCATAACATACTTACGCAACTGCTTTCCACTATCTTCGAAGCTTTTTAAGTAATCATAAAATTCAACATTGCAAGAGTATCCAAACCGAAAGTAGCGCAGCTTACATTTGATAAATGTCCTTACAATACTTGTATACTTCCTTTTAAG